ATGTTTTATGAAAACTTAATCCATGTTACATGTTTGGTTCATGGCCTTAACAGAGTTTCAGAAGAAATTAGGTCTAACTTTCCTTTAATAAATGATTTAATTAGTAATGTAAGAAAAATATTTCTTAAAGCTCCTATAAGAACTCAATTTCCTGAATTACAGATGCCACCGGAACCTGTGATTACTCGGTGGGGTACCTGGCTTAAAGCTGCCTTTTTTACGCAGATAATTATGAAAAAAATTAAAGAAATCATATTTGATTTTGATGATTCATTCATCAAAAATGTCCAGGGCGATATTGGAAAGACGATTTTTCATAAATTTTCAAATGTAATTTTAAAAAATGAAGGATTTATTGTTTTAAGAAACCTTGCTAATATTTATTCTGGTAACTTTGAAGATATTAATACTATTCATCCAGATATTTCAGGAAAATTTAAGTTTGCACCAATTACTTCTGTAGATGTCGAAAGGAGTTTTTCTTTGTATAAGTACATACTTACTGATAGGAGACAATCATTTAATACAGATAATTTAGAAAAACATCTAATTGTTCATTCGTTTTATAATAATGTTAATTTGTAAATAAAATTAGTTAATTATTAAGTATTATATTAGGTATTGTAAAATAAAACAAATAATAAATATTAATAAACTATTTCGATCAAATAACAAATTACTCTTATTGCATGTGCTCTGCATATTTTTCAATTTTTTACGCATATATTGAAGTATTTTGCCGGCATATATATGCGCATATTTTACTACTTTTTGGGTGCATATATTCCTAGGTCTAATTATTAGTTAAGCTTATGCCCCAATAATTGTTTGACAGAAGTTGCTATTGTATAATTTTTTTTTGGGAACTTTGTCCCCCCTCCCTGCTGGCGCACATGTTAGAAGTTCTATTTTCAACTAAATATAGTACAAAAAATGTGTGGAAATGTTTCATTGATTATAAGTTGACAATTGACAGCAGGCTTGTTTGTTGTTTGTGGATATGAATGTTTTACAGTGGATTTCTCATTTTGTTTTTTAAAAATAAAATAATTTTCTTTTATCTGTAAATATGCCCATCAACTATGGAAAATTAAATGTAGAAGGCCATTAGCCCTTATATTTCCAATTGCAATAAAGTTCCAGAATTTTCAAGTGAAAACTGTTTTCCTCGATATTTTCATAAGAGTGTAAAATGAACAAGTTTAAAAAACCGACTTAAAAAACGTGCATTACAAATTGAGTTTGACGCATTTCTCATAAATCCCACCATCAAAACATGACGAAATACAGGGTGTCTCAAATTGTTTTACCCAGGCTATAACTTCTAACCCATGCAAAATAATCGAACCGGACAGTTTTGGCTCCAGCCTGCAGTTGCTCTAATATTATCATTAGATACTCCTGATCTATATGCTGCAGATACTGAAGTATGTCTAGAGCTGTAAGGTAAGGAGTGAATGACACTTATTGCAAGAATGAGCATGGGAGCGTGGCGGGGAGTGTAGCGTTCTCTCTTTCTTTCAACTAGTGACGATTTCATGACAAATACATGGTTGCCAATGTGTTCTGGACTGATGGAATGGAAAGAAGTATAATATATATTTGAACGAGTATACAAAATATGATTTTTGTCTAAATATAGTATCTACACTAGTATTTCTGAAATTCTACTCCATAACACATCAAAAGCATTTTTCGAAACTAAAATTTGGGCAAAACACAGTATGTCGTATTTTTTCTATAAAAAATCTTGAAATTACTTTTTACTTAAACAATATTTAAAACTACTTCATATTTTGAAACCTTATATTAAAATTTTTTATTGATTTACTCAAAATCTTAAAAATAACGGTTACTGTGTTTTGGAATGTGGCAACCGAATTATTTTAATCACAGTGTATCTAACAGCAAAATAAGTAAGAATAATAATCAGAGCTAAAATTATTGTTCAAATACTACAACAAACCATGAAAATTAATAAAATATCTTATGGTTTGATCCAGAATCCTGTCGCCTTCTTATAATATCCTATAATTCAGCAAAAAGTTTGAAAGATTATACTTGAAATATAAAGGTCAAGTAAAAAAATGAATAACTAAAAGTATATTAGAGTAATGGCCATTGCTGGTTCTGAGAACGTGGCAAAAATCACAATATATAGATGATCAGGATCGGTGTAACAAAGATTTATGAACTATGTTGCATAACGAAATAAGAAAAGTAGATACAGTGTGAAAAAACTTCAAAACCATAGAGCTGAACTGCAAAAAGACTGGAATCAAGAATCAATTGCCTGTGCGAACGAAAAGCGTGTAATTAAATGGTATACGGATGTTTCCAAAACCACAGAAGGAATAGGAATATGAGTGCATGGACATAGAAGCAAATATTTTAAATTATACCAGATAGAAGAGCCAGATTAGAGCTACTCCGTATGCAAAATTGTCTTGGGAACATGACATTGGAAGAGTCGTTATAGAGATTAAGACTATTCAATTGATATGAAATACCGCATGCCGGTTTTCATCCAGTTAAAAATGTTTTGGCTAGAAAGTATACTTTCTCGTTTTCCAACTCTTCTTCATGTCCCGAGACCTATACAAGAGTGACATTATGTCCAGCCAGAGCCGGGAAGGACTACAGGTATTCAAATATTACTTTGCATTGTACTTTTACCCTTTCCATCGCTTTAAGGGCACTGCAAAACTACAAAACATCATAACTGTTCCCTACTCCTCAATTTTGATATTTTTTCTGATTGTTTGCACCACAAGTATAGCGTAAATATCATTTTAGTTATATTATCTACGTCTATGATCTACTTTCATCTGAAGCGGAGAGGAACTATCAACCGAATTCTGAACTGAATTACTTTATTTCTCTATATAATATCTTAAAATAGGGTTAGTATACTCATCGAAAAATCTTTTACCCCCTTCAAATTAAATTACTATGAATTTTCGGACATATTTGTTAATTGATCAAATTGACATAACATTTTTATGCACTATTAACCCTAGAGAATTGGTCACGTGTTTATGAAACACTCCGTAGAATGAACTATAAAAGTAAGAGGCCATTAACGACTTCAGCAGATCATTGATAATGTTAAATAATCGAAACAACTAAAATCAAAATCGTGTAAAAAAGGTCGTGAAAAACAGAATTGGGACTACCTATTTTAACTCATTAACCTAGATTTTTTCTGTGTTATTGTAATCTATTCGTAATTTTAATGTCATTATTTCTCATTTGTTTATCTTTATTATTATCTATAAACAAATGGCTTTTTGATTTTTTCTGAACCTATTTTTCTTAAAAACACACGAATAAATCTTAGTTATTTGGCAACAACGCATCAACTGATGTGTAGATTATGTTTTTAATAATTCGCAAATAGAGAGAGAAATAATTGATTAGTATGTGAGAAGCGGCTTCCACGTGAATGACGTATTCTGCTGGTTGTGCCTTCGGTTCAGGATAGGTCGTGTTAGGTCAGAAAAGTTGAAAATCACCTACCGCGTAACAGGATACCATGAGACGACCATGGTATCCGATATGAACGAACGAAACAGCAGAGCCACACCGTTGCGTTTCTAACGTAACGTTTGAAATGCAGAATTTCACTTCGAATGGAACAGGAGATCATGATATGGAAGGGATACGCATAATATGAATAAGATTATAGTAATGGTACACTCTATTTAACAATTCACTTTGTTACCTTCATACGATGGAGGCAGATTACATTCAAAGTTATGAAAACTGATCCATACCTATTAATTAGATCATATCTTTAAAATGTTTTACATTTTTGCACCTTTTTACATATTGTTGACGTTGACCAATTTTATGGATTTCTTATAGTGGTAAGACAATCTAATTAGGTTTGTGTTTAGATATTTGAACCCGTCATTTCGAAAAGGGCGCAAGTCACATTTTTTAAAACATCACTTTTTGACGCCATTTGATTCTTTGAAGTATTTTACATATTTCCTGCGAAAACGGCACATCTTCATATACCACAATGCAGCTTATAAAGCAGTCAGAATTTAAAGTCTGTATGAAAACGGCAAGTCCCGGACTCATGCCTCTTTCAAGTGGCACGCAACGCAGCTGTCAGATATGATAACCTCACTTTATCAGTTACGAAAATGGAGAATCGCGAGCTTGCTGACACTGCTTATAAAGAAGAAGGGTGCCTGGTGTAAGAAACATCGAAAACTATAAGCATAACAAAATAAAAAAAAAGCCAAAATTGCTTTAAAAGCTCTTAAAAACCATAGGAGAGAGATGTTGGCACCAAGACAAATAGGAGCTTATTGCAGGTTAGTTTTGTTTTCTCAATATATTTTACCAAATATTAGCTAGATATGATATTTATTGTTCTTTTTATTTACAGATATAAGTTAAAATGTATGGAGACTATCTCAGAAGATAATATCCAAAGTAGTGTCCGTTTTATTAACAATTTTGATAGTAAAAATGCCCAAGGCATTGATTAAAAAGCAGGAAATACATAGAAAACGTTCCAGATCTGAAGTACCTAAAAATAGACAATTTACTTTCAAATATTACATTAAGATAAAAGGTGCTAAATTAAAAGTGTGCAAAAAAGCATTTTCCAGCATCCATGGAATTTCTGAGAAACAAGTTAGACGTTTATGTATTTTATTAAAAACAAACGAGCAACCAGTGGCGGCTCGTGGGATGGTTCACAGTGACAGAATATAGGTATCAGTACAGATGTATGAAAAAACTTTCAGTGTTTTAGAAAGTATATAATATACCTTTCTAAAACACTGACAGTTTTTTACCTATATCTGTACCGGGATCTATATTCTGCTACTGTGAACCCCCAAAATTTTGGTCACGAGCCGCCCCTGCGAGCAACCTATAGATCACAGAGGAAAATCACAGGGATCACGGAGCAATGCAATATCTGGTGATAGATTATCTAAAATCAGGGAGCATATTGAGTCATTTCCTGTCAAATGTGTGCACTAGTATAATAAAGATGCATCAGTCTATTACTTAGATGAAAAACTCAATGTGAAAACTATGCATGCATTGTACAAACAAAAATATCCAGATCATCCAGTAAAATATAAATTTTACTTAAAATATATGCAGGAAAACTTTAGCTTATCATTTGGTAGAAAGCAAATTGATGTATGTGCACTGTGTGAAGAGTTAAAGATTAAACTAAAAAATCCACATTTAAATGATAACGCAAAAAGAGTCTATCAAGCAGATATTGAGCTCCATAAAAGACAAGCAAATAAATTTTACAAAAAAATTCAAAAGGTGGAAACTAAGTGCAAGAATGATCCAAAGGTGTATGGGATTGCATTTGATTATATGCAAAATTTACCACTTCCACATATTCCAGTGCAGGAAGTTTTTTATCTACGTCAACTATGGATATATGAGTTTTGCATTTATGACATGAAAACTGGAAAATCAGTCTTCTATTCTTATTGCGAAGGAGTTGCTAACAGAGGTACCAATGAAGTGGGTACCTTTGTGCTGGATTACATTAAAAATAATATTGGCAATGATGCCGAAGAGTTGCACCTGGCAGCTGAACAAAATAACAATATCAAGAAGATAGAATATTACATTCCCAAAAGAGGTCATTCATTTCTGCCAAACGACAGAATGTTTGGGACAGCCAAGAGACATATTCGAAAAAATGACAGGATTTCCACTCCAGCCGAGTATGAAGCATAGTTGAAGCTAATGAAAAATTTGAAATACAAAGGCCGAAAACTGAAGATATTATAGACATAAATGGTGGCCGAAATATTATAAGAAAGTGGTGCTGTCTGTGGATTCCTATGAAAAAGGAGTACCCAAGGACCAAAAAACAACTTTTGCTATTTCCAAAGTGTCACATTTCACTTTTTCTAAGTCCACACTAGGTCTAGTAACAACACGTGGTTCCATAGATTATTTTATCAGTCATGATTTCCAGCTCTTACAGAGGATGGGTACCAGGCCATCCTTACCAACAAGTGATACTCCTGCATATGCTGTTAAAGTGCCAATCAATGAAAATAAATATATTCCAGCAGAGTACCAAGATTTCTATACAGAGGTTTTTGCATGGCCAACAACTGCAACAAACAATGATTATCAAGAAAATAATGATGATAACTACCAACCCTTCTTCTGAAAATCTTTGGATTTGACTATGCATCTAAGAAGTCATTTTGAAAAAGGCATAAGTCCAAATTTTTTTATTTCAAATATCTGTATGATTATATTTTTTTTTATTATATAAATGTCACAAAAATTAAATATGTCCTTTATTTATCGCCTTCTATGTTCATTTTTTTAGCACCACAGACTTTTTTCACATGACACATATTTTTAGTGCTCCTCAAAAGTTTTAGTTAACGGACTTTAACATTTAACTTTAAGTTATTGTAGATTGTACTCTAACATTTATTTTGCCTGAAGGTGACTTTATAAGGTTGAAAGCGTTTGCAAGCTCTATCATATTTTTAAAAAATCTAGTTCTTGATAGACTTTGTGTTTTTCTTATTTCTACTTAATATAAATATTCAATTTTGGATTTTTGGATGTAGCTCATTTAAAAAACATCTATTTTGCACTTACAGAATCCCAATCTACTCACGAAAAATTGAAGTCCTGCAAAAAAAATGTTAAAAATAATATAATAATAAAATAAACACTCACCTATCAGATACAAACCACTAAGTCAGTTATAATCGTTGTCCTATGATTTATGATTGTAATCATACTAAACATACTATCTTTTTAAATATAATTTCGTTTATTGTCAATATTTGTCCCTTATTTGGTTCACTTTTTTTGTTAACAGCGTTCTCTCACTTAACTCACTAGAATTACTAATCTCAACCTTCCCTAACAAACGTTTACATATTCAGTAGGTATCGTTTAAAATAGTAAGCGCGCCTTTCGTCTTACCGACTGTATTTGCCGAAGTGATCACTTCGAAACTTTCAGTGCAATGCTCTCCACTTCGCATCTTAATTTGAACGTCTGCTGCAGAACATTTCCAATGTAAAAATATATGACGGGATTCATTACACCTGCTGAATTTAAACTAAACATTAACAATTACTTCATAATTCTTCACAGTTATGGGTTCACGAGTATGATTAATAAAGCAACAAGAATAACTCAAGATTCAGCAACATGCATCCATCATTACTTTGTCAAGTGTAAAAGTGGATTTCTTGTGGTAATGAATCCTATAATATTGGTGAATGATCTCACTGATCATTACCCTATTCCGATTTATGTTAAAACCTAACCAGAGACTGCAATAATACAAAAAAGTCTATCTTATGAACCTATAGACAATAACAATCAAAGTTTTACAAAAAGCAAGATGGGATATTCTTGCGGAAAATGATGTTAATGGGAGTACTAATATATTTGTAGATACACGTATAGGTTAATAATGCAATCCACAAAAATTAAATAAGTATTTAAATAATAAGAAATAAAAGACTGAAACCCTGAATCATTGGTTGCCTCTTAATCTCAATTTAAAATAGAGATATATTAAAAAAATAATGCTCTCTTAATATAAATAACTTAGAGCTTTTAAATAATTACAAAGAATATACACAAAACATTTTCAAAACGAATTAAAAAAGTCAAATATATACCCTCTATAAAAATTTAACTTTAAATCAAGCAAAAGGTATCAAAAAAATATAGAATGTACTTAATCAAATGACTGAAAATGAAATTATAAGTACTTATTATTAATAGTAATAATGAGGAAATCTTAAATAAATAAGATATAGCAAATAAATTTAATTTTTAATTATTTTAATCAAATAGGTAATCATTTAGGACCAAAAATAGTATATTGTGATATTGATAAATGGGTTAAAACTAACTGAATTCCTTTTTCACTCCTTATCTAAGAATGACTTATATTGCAAATAAAAAGACTAAAAAATAATGTAGAAGGAGGCCAGGATAATATTAGTACCAAAATAATTAAGAATGTCCATGATTATTTGCTAAGTTAATTAAAACATATCATAAATAAATGTTATAGCTCAGAAATCTTCCCTGACAGACTTAGAAGTGCCGCATAATTGTTTTACTACACAAACAAAGAGATAAAAAATTACAAATCACTATAGACCTATTAGTTTAACTAGTACCTTAATTAAAATATAGAAACATGTATTAAGTTTAAGTTGTTGCAATTTTTAGATAAACATAAGTTGATTAATGAAAATCAATATGGCTTTAGGGAGGGGTACTGTACAGAAAATTCATTGTGCAAGGTGACTAGTGATATTTTCGAGAATATATATCAGGGAAACAAGGTGATTGATATATTTCTAGATTTAGCAAAAGCCTTTGACACTGTGGCACACCAAATATTATGTACTACTACCAGGGGTATAACTAATAACATATTTAAATTCTACTAAAGTGATGTAGAACTGAAAGTGTTAAAATTCAAAATGAGTTAAGTGATGAATTAATTGTGGAATTTGGAGTGCCTAGCTCTATTACTATTTAATATGTATATAAACGGTATATTGTCCACAATCAATGAAGGCAATGTTTACTGTTTTGCGGATGACACAGCTGTCGTAATAAGTGTGCATGATTTGCCGATAACAATAAAAAATGCAGAAAAATAGTTTTTCTAAATTTTTGGCCTTCTCTCTTTCAACTAGAGCATCTCCAAATTTTCACAAAATAATCCTTCATGAGCAAAAATGTTAAATAATTAATAACCGCCAGTGTATTTACTCTGAGAGAAAACGTACCAGAGTGCATTGATAAAATAGCGAAAGATCTTAGACTGTATTCGTATTTCAATGAAACATAAAATAGTTATTATAATAATTGCTCTATACTGAGATACCCAATAAAATGGCTGTGCCTGTCCCCATAAAGTCGAATCCTGCTTACTGATATAACATACACAATTTGCATTCTACCCTACTCTACTTGGTAAGGACACAGGAATGAACATTTTTACTTAGTTAAAATAGTTTCTTTGATTAGAGGAAGAAAAAGAAGAGAGCAAAAAAAAGACTATGTTGTGATTGTAAATAAAACAATGTAAACAGTGATTTTACTTGAATCTTAGATTGTTACATTTCTTCAAATCGAAATCAATGTTTATGACCAATCATGTCTTTGCCAGATATGTATTTTATCTTGGTGGTGTTATTAGATTTTTAGGTTCATCATATCAAGTGGTCTATGATCACTTTCTATTGTAAAAGCTCTGCCAAATAACCAAGGAAAAATGTATCGACACAATGGTTGAGAATGGAAAATAATGAATTAAATAAATCCAAAACGCGAAGGGATGACCTGTAAGTCAAATAGCATTAATCAATCATCTGTAACTCCCCCTGGAGGAGAACCACAGCAAAAAATAATACCCGTGCCTCCTCGATACAAGGTCTTCTTCCTGAGCTTCAGGGGTATTATTTATTTTTAGTTATTAACATGAGGACCAGACAGAGAAGAGGAATTGGTCGTCCCTACCTATGTGCTAAGGAATTGCCAATAATTGGCGACGTGACTTACAACAGAAAAACAAGTGTCTGTGACCGATCCACCAAATGACGTCGCTGCTGTACCTTTCTCTATTGAAACGGATTCTACCTCCTATCCGGAAAGCATAAATCCAAGAAGTTTGCTAAAGCCAAGGAGAGTATCCGGTCGCTTCGGAAGATAGGTTTCAGTTAGGACAGAAAAGACGTAACTCACCTACTAGGTAACAGGAGATTATGAAGTGAAGTAGGGAGTTAGAAACATTATTCGAATTTCTATATCTAGTTCTGTGAAGTGGTTTAAATATTAAAGAAGTATAAAGTAAAAGCAGAATTTAAGTATTATGATACTAAATTATGAGGTGATGTAAATTTATCTTTGCTCATAAACTAGGTTACGTTACTCTAAATATATCAGTCTGACACCTATGACTCATAAGTAGGGTTGCCAGAGTTCCGAAAGTAAAAAGCGTGACAACCGTGACGACAGAGCATTTTTATATAATCAGGTCCATTCTTTGTGACCATTTCTAAAAAAAAGGTCCTCAACTTATTTTTCGTACATTTGTCTGTTTTTGTATAAATCCGGTTCCTCTGCGGCTTTTCAATTAAAAAGCGTGGTATTTGCTTAAAGCGACTGGTATTTTTTTCAAAAGCGTGGCATTTTCGTACTGTGGCGTTGCGCGTACAAGCAAGTCAAAAAGCGTGTCAAATACGCCAAAAGCGTGACGTCTGGCAACCCAACTCATAAGGTATATTCATGTTGCATTAAAATATTGTTGCTAAAAAATACTTATTAAAGCTTAAAGCCAATAACTATATTTCACTACAAATTCTTGAAATAATAAATCTGCCATTTTCTCATAAAATTATAGTGCATAGGTTAAGTTAGGACTTCATCATCTATTAAACAAATAATAAAAACTCGAAATATTAATATTGAAATTGATACTGTTCTTGCAAAGCATTTCAGCTATTTATTATATTAAAATTTATGATTGCAAGTAAAGGGTGAATCCTAAGTTGATACTTATAACTTTAGAAGTCATTAAAATAAACAACTTTTAAAAATAAATAAATAAAAACTTAATTTATTCCAAAATGTATCCAACACGATCTTGTAAATAATGTGTTCAAAGTTGTCATCATTCACTGAAGTGTTAAAATCAATGAGGTTGTACTATACCTCCTTGG